TCCCCCTTAGGGCCCAGACTGGCCTCTGAATATTTAGATATTTAAGGGGATAGTTAAAGAATTTGGTGCGAAGGGACTTGAGTAACTAACCCAATCAGATAGCGTAGTGGCCCTGAAGGGTCCTGCCTCCCCACCATCAGCATGCATCAGCTCACCTTGTCCATCTGGCTGTTCGGCTGCCACATTAGCTGAGGCAAGTCGGGAGCAAAAGGAGTGTGCAGCTCTGGACACTGGGAATATCAGCAGGCCCAGGGAAGGCAGGCACGGGACAGAGGCCTGTGGGCGTGTGGAGGCAAGGATCAGCCATGAGGCAGCAAGTGCCAAATTACCTAGCAGGGCTTAACGCGGCAGCTGGCTCCATTCCAGCTGGGACTTCCCCACATGGAGCCCCACCTTGTGGACAGAGGGACTCTTGCCCTGTGACCTGCAGAGGAGTCTGGAGAGCAGAACAGGAAGAAGGAAAGGTGGGGGGGGGGGAGGCTAAGAGGTAGGAAGTGTCTTAGAGGTCTGTCCTCGGATTCTTAGGCTGGGGCCCTGGAGTTGGGGCAGCCAAAGAGGTCAGTAACCAAACCCCTTTGGGGGGCCGCAGAATCATGGGGTCACCACCAGGTGCTGGCACCCGCCTGTGTCCTCTCAGATGCCCCATCCAGTTCTCACTGTCCTCCCCTCTCTTTGCAGGGACTGATGCCTTTGGCCATGACACATCCCCAGCTGCGATCTGCTCGGACACAGACTGTGTGACTGGGCTGTCGCTGCTCCTGCTGTCTCCTGTAAGTGTAAGGCAGAGGCCAGCCTTTCTTCCTCCAGGAGAAGGTGTCTGGGTCCCCAGGGGGAGGTCCAGAAATCCCGGAGGGTAGGCCTTGGAAGTTTTGGTTGGCAACAGGTTTGTCTTCCTCACTGCTTCCGTCCCTGAGTTGGCCACCGCCGAATCTAGTCTGGCCCAGATCTGCTGCCCCCAGGAAGGAATGCCGGGACAGTTTTCCCTGACCCTCAGGAAGCTAATCAGGCGGCAGCTGGTCTGAGAGGAGGCGCACTGCACTGCTTGTGGGTCCTGACTCATTCTTGCTATCGCATGACTTCAGGCAAATCTCTTATGATCTGGCTTCCCCTCCTGCCAGGGTGGCATTTGGAAGGCTAAAAGGAGATGTAGTTAGTATCTTCTGTAACATCACAGACTACCACAAACAGCAGTTGAAAGGCCACACAGGTTATCTGACAGGTCCTATGGGTCTGAGTCCAGGTACAACCAGCTGGGGCAGCTGCTGCCCT